TTCGTTTTTTCTAGTTATCGTAGAACCTAGATACCTAAATTTATCTACCTGTTCAAACATATTACCATCTATATCGATATCACCAGTAGTATCGCCATTTTTGCAGCTAACCATATATTTTGTTTTATCCACGTTTATTTCGAGTCCTAGTTCTTTACCGGCTTTCATTAACGTTGTCGTATTTAGTTTTATAGTTTCAACGTCTTCGCTTAACAGTACCAGATCATCAGCATAGCCCAGCACGGATGTTGTCCCGCCCAGATCCAACCCATTCTCGGTTCGCATTACCTCCCTAATGGCATGTTCTAATGCCAAATTGAACAGGACAGGCGAAAGAGAATCCCCCTGTTTTAAGCCCGAACGAACCTCAAATTTTTCGGACAAATTATTACCTATTCTAACTTTATTGAGTGTCCCCGTCAAGCACATCCTGACTAGATTTACTAGTTTTTTTGGAATCCCCTGCTCGATTAGAATATTATACAGTTTCTGGCGGTCAATAGAATCGTAAGCCTTTTTAAAATCTATATACAGCTGGTGAACAATACCGTTATACTCCAATTTTTTCTCTAATATTTGCCGTAAAGAAAATATTTGATCAATTGTCGAACGATTCCGTCTAAATCCGCATTGGTAGTCTCCGATAATTTCCTCGGCGTATTCCGTGATTCGACTGGTTAAGATTGAAGTGAATATTTTATAACATACCGGAAGGAGTGAAATTCCTCGATAGTTATTACAATCCGTCCTCGGACCCTTTTTGTGAATCGGAATAAGAATAGATTCTTTCCATTCTTCAGGTAATTTCTCGTTCACCCAGATCTTGTTAACCAACCGATGTATTTTAGAAACTCCGGCTTCCCCGCATGCCTTAATTAGTTCTGTAGGAATATTATCGGTTCCCGCTGCTTTATAAGATTTTAATTTTCCGATAGCTACTTCAACTTCCTCTTTACTTGGTCCTTCTATTAATGGTTCAGCACTCTGGTACTCAGAAGGAGGACACAGATCACGATTTCCCGCATTTAAAATATTGTCAAAGTGGTCCTTAAACTTATTCAATTTGTCAACCGGATCGGTCAGAATATTGTTATTATCATCCCTAATTCCAGACGTTACGGGCCCTACATATTTACGTGATCTGTTTATACCTTTGTACATGTCTCTTACGTTATTTTCGATTCTATTAGTTTCTATTTCAATTATTTTATTTTTAAGATACTCCCTTTTTTTATTTTTGAGCAATTTTGTCGTTTCGTTCTTTGAGATTCGGAAGTATTCCAGATTGTCTTCGCTAGGATTATTTAGAGCTTTTAATTTAGCGGCTTTTCTTTTTTCACACATGTTTAAGCAATCTTCATCAAACCACGGTCTGTTATTCTTATTTTCCTTTTTTCCTAGACACGAGTTACCGACCGCTTTAATATTATCTCTGATCTCTATCCCTAACTTGTCAATATCCTCGTGGTTCTCGTCAGGAAGCTCTAAAGCTTCAAACCTATTCTTAACTTCTAGCTCGAATTGGTTTCTAATTGATGGATTTTTTAATTTTTCCAAATTAAAATTCTCAAAATCGAAACGGTTTTCTTTTCTCTTTTTTATATTAAGTTTTTGTCGAAGTTTCGCGATTACTAATTCATGATCCGACCCACATTCTGCTCCGCGATAAGACCGTACATTAATTATACTGCTTTGCCAGCTGTGTTGTATCAAGACATGATCGATTTGATTTCGTGTTTGCGAATCCGGTGATGTCCAAGTATATTTATGAATATCCTTATGTTTAAACGTCGTACTTTTAATTATCAGGTTTTTCGAGATGGCAAAGTTTATCAGACGGATCCCATTATCATTACTATATTCGTGCAAACTTTCTTTACCAATCGTCGGAATATAAACTTCTTCCCTTCCTACCTTTGCGTTCGCGTCACCTACAATTATTTTCATGTAGTTTCGTGGTAGTTTATCATAAACCCATTCGAGTTTATCGTAAAATTCACTTTTGACTTCATCGTCACTGTCTTCGGTCGGACAATGTATGTTTATTAATGCGATTTTAAACCAACGTCCCTGAAATGTAGCTACCGAAATTCTATCACTAAAGAATTGTACGTCCCTCAAAGCGGATAGTAATCTACGCCTAATTAGAAACCCGGTACCTAAACAATGATTCTCGCTTCCTCCGTACCAAATAGTGTACTTCCCTTCCCTCATCGAGCCCTCCCCTGGCCAGCGAACCTCTTGCAGAGCCACGACATCCAAATGGTACCCATTTACCTCATTCGCGACCGATTTTAGCCCCCCTGCTGTGTTTAAACTCCTTACGTTCCACGTACCAATATTTAAATCCCTATATTTCAACTTTCGCCATGAATCCCCTAAAGCAGTCCCCACCCGGAGACCCGAACGGGGGACTAGTTTACTTCCGGATAATGAGCGTTTTACCTTAGGGAGATCCATGACTTTTTGTGGTGTTTGGTGAACTAAAGATATGTGAGTAGGGCGTTCAATCCTACGTCACACCCTCCAGCAAGTCTGGTGGGCCCCTCCCTCCAGCAAGTCTGGAGGGCCCCTTTCATTGTTGGTCAGCGAGTCCATCGGACTTAGCCGGGAGGAACTTCCAAGAAATTTCCACCGACCATCCCCACATCCGCCACCCGTGGGACGCTCCCCATACGCGGTAATGATCCCGCGCGAGGAAAAAAATGCTTTTACATGTTGAAAATCAATCTCCGGAATTGACAGCCAGAAGGTATATGTATAATATATCGTTGGAAAGCGAAAATTTTTAGAAAAAAATAACATTAAATAAATAAAGTTGTAGAAGATACCACAGAGTGTAACATATAAATACTAATTACAGAAAACTAACCTTAAATCACATGTTTCCAATAAAATAAAATAAAATTTTATTACAAAATGTAAATTTCAAAAGTTTTTTCTAAGTTTGAAAAAAAAAAGTATTTAAAATCCATTGAATCATACCAATTAAAATACTATTTAATTATACTTAAAAGAAGAGTGAATTATAAAAATATTTCATGGATATGTTTATAACCTTTAATACTTTGCTGTAGTTTAATAACTCTAGATATGATATTATATTTAAATAATTAGGTATAAATTGGCTGTTTATTCCAAAAAATCATCGTGTAATCAGGAAATTGAATTAGAAAATAATTTTAAGAATTTTCTCTTTGTGAACTCCCAACATCCTATCTATGGCGGGCAATGAAAATCACATAATTTCATTTTAATAACTAATATTCCTACGAACCATAATCATTTTTAGGTCAAATATTCAGATGTACTTTCAAATCTTTCCTGTTGTCAGAATGACTAACTACAATTTCAACATTCTTTATTATTAATTTTAGTGATGTTTCTTGTGGCAAAATTTATACCTTTATTCACAGTTTTATTTCAACACTGGAATCACCTACTCTGTAATCAACTTACTCGCTTTATGTATAGATATAACTTTTCCAACTAGAAATATCACTAAAATGACATTACTCAAAATGTTGAAATTGGAGTTGGCATTCTGTCAACTGAAAGACTCAGAGACTGAAGTTGTGTGGTTTATAAAATCAGATAGAGTACCTAGATATTTATTGCCTACCGCCGATATAATAAAAAGACTTTTTGTAATTTTATTGGTCTTAATGATTTTTTAGCTGTAAGTGTAACTGTTTTAGCTCCGTTTAAAATGCACTTCAAAAATTTTATAATACCCCAATATTCCCAGAAAATAATTTCTATTCAAAGTAGAGGGGTAAGTGAAAGTTGTGTGTTGCCCACACCAGATTTTTTTTTTTCATTATAGCCTGATTGCATATATATATATATGTATATATATATATATATATATATATATATATACAATACCATAAATGGTAACGATGTGTCACACCTTGCTCTAATACTTGGTGCTCGTAAGTGTGGTCGAATTTATTATATTTTAATACAAAAATTAAATCAAAAATAATACTTGAACTATGCAAACGTAAAGTAATCATTTGTTCAACGTCTTGCAATATTACTCTTATTGCTCTATGCATAATGCTTACATGTATTTGTCAATTCAACTTGTGTCGTAATAAAATTAAATTCAAATGCTATAACAAAATCAAATAAAAAATATTTTAATTTTTATCCATTTACAATTGTATAAATAAACATATGAATTAAATTTGTTATAAGTATATAAAGCATGATAGGAATTGGGGAAGAATCAACCTATCGGTACCACTTCGATGAAAAAAAAATTAAAATAGATTTCTAATATTTAATTTAAAAAAACCCAAGATTTATAAAATTAATTTTTGAACGATTTGTTAATGTCATAAAACAAAGTACCGACGGTAATTATTCAAAATCTCGTAACTCCATTCAGTAAAATTTTACAAAGGAGAATTGATGAGTTATTACAGAAATGTATACACTTGTACACATTTTGTTTCTATTATGCTTCATAATACAAATATTTTCTTATGTTGTTTCAAATCTTTCTTTGTATATTAACCTCCCATCAGTGGGTTTATTTGTTTGAAACAGACTAATGTAGTACAAGGTTGTCAACTGTCGATGTATTTATTTAAAAGACAATTAAACTTTTATATGAGGCTATTCAAAATATGATTAATGTGGATTGGTTTCCTTCCGCCTTACAGCGATCTCTATTTAAGAGGGGAATAATTTAGGTAAAGTGAAAGTTGTGAGGTGTAAGCCGCATCAGGTATTCTATTGTAAAAGCAGTTTTACAATATTTTAGTTACAGCTTTTTCAAACTAAAATGGAATTCTCTTAGTAAGATATTCGTGGCTATCGTTAATTCTCTAATGCTAATACTCTTAGCATTCATTAATTCATGATACTATGTTGTGCTATTCATTAATTCTCTTAATTCTCTTATGCTTATGAGATTAATTAATCAATACATGTATAACCATAAAACAAAAAAAATGAGAATAATAAAAATAAATAAAAAAAGAATTTGCTACTAGTGGGATTATAGTTGTAGGTTGGAGGTATAATAATAGTTTCTTTCAATGAATCAGAAATTTATTAAATGCAACTTAATTTAGAAAAGATCAAAGATCAACTAAACCTTTAGTTCTCCCAAATTCATCACCTTCGGGTGATTGTAAGCCCCGGAAGGGTTTTTGTTATAAATAGGACTCCATTCAGCGTTCCAAGGCATGAAGTAAATTGCCTTAGGGTATCGGGACGCAACTATTTTCATGAAACGATCGTAATCGAACTGTCCGTCTTTGGAATAAGGGCCGACTTCGGCGAAGGTGAAAGGCTTGCCCAGGCTGGTCATCTCATCGTAGCCCTTAAGCTGGTTTGGGTCGTCGGAGTACCAGTCCAAACCAACGATGTCCACGTATTCATCGCCAGGATAATAAGCGGTTCTGGACTCTCTGCTTTGATCGGGAGAGTAGACCCAAAGGATGTTGTCCAAGCCCTTATTTGCCATGAAGTTGAAAAGTTCCTTCCAGAGCATCTTGAAGAGGCGCTTTCGCTCTTCGTTTTGAGTTTCGTCTTTCATAGCTGACCACCAGAACCAGGGTCCGTTCATTTCGTGGAAGGGACGATATAGGATGGTTATTCCTTGGTTCTTATACTGTTGTAAGCCTTCAGCGATCTTTTCCATCGTTTTCAACCACCTGTTCCTTATTGGAGTTCCGTCTTGGAGAATAGCGGCGTAATCACTGTTGTTAATTTCTCCGTCTCCGATATAATTGTTGCCTGGATATACAGGATTCGGTATGTGGTGACTAACGGTAATAATACCGCCCTTTTTGGCGTAATCTACCGCCAGAGAGTTATAGCAATCGATGACGTCGGTTTCACGCCCTTCAGCAGTTTTCGCCCAACCTGGAGAACAGTCGATTCCGTAGACGGCGGGTAATTTGTTAGTCAAGCTCTTTATTTGGTTGGCTTGATTCATGGAGAAGCCGATCTCATGCTGGAACCGGTTGTAGCCTCCGAATGCTCCGGAGAGAATCCGGTCCCCAATGTTGCTCATAGCAGCTAATAACTTCTTAGTATTTTCGTTGGCTCTGGGATTTGCAGCAGATTGAATGCTCTAAAAATGAGAAGTGTTACTTAATTGAAATATTTTATTAATTTGTGTAGTACTTTTTACTGTAAAAACTATAGTATACATAATTAGAAAGGTTATGATAAATAGTTACAGACACCTACCACAGCCGCATGACAGAGGAAAGCAGTAAATAAAATGTATCTCATCTCCATGTTCCCCAGATTGTCCTGTAATAAAAAATGTATTTATTTTTATGGTAAAACATACCCATAGCAGTGTGTTTGATTGCTTAAAAGCAAAAAAATATCAACATATCTATCGTTTTATCATTAGTAAACTTATTCAAGAGTGATCTTGATATGAATGAAATAATTACCTAAGGAAAGTAGGTGAACACTGGCCGAAGAATCGTAGCCAGTATGTTATATACCCAAGCATGCATTTGTTCTGACTAGCGAAAGAGGGGGGGAAGGGAAAGGAGCAAATGTACAAAACCACCTGTTTATACTTATGTATTATGTATGAACATAATGAAAAATAACTAGTCTTGTATTGTACGACAAATACTATGGTAGTCCTGATTTATTCTGTTTGGATTAAACAAATGTTGCAATAATTCTGTAACAAAAATAGTTATTTCCTGTTCACAAAGAAACTCACAGCAAATACATGCATATGGTACTAAACATAATTGAAAATAACTAATTATATTTTTTCAGAATTTCTTTAGTTTAGAGGATTTTTATTTATTTATTTACTTATTTTATACATGCACATACAAAACGTCAAATAAATCAGTCAAGAAAGCTTCCTAACTATTTTTATTGAGCACATAAACAAATACACACATGTGCATACCCTCCATTAATATTATAATTTCATTCAAAATTGAATAGAATATTTCAATAAAAGCAAGTGTGATAAACCACATCAAGTATGAAAAATAATATAACAACCCAACGTCATATGTTTATCGCCATTATTTATTTTATTTTAATGCTGTAATATTCTTAGCAATAGAAAATTGATAAAATGAATACCGGATCATTTGTATATCATTCCTCAATTTTCCTCCAAACTTTGGCCAAATTTAATAAGCCATTTTTGAAATATAGCCGTAGATGATAATATACGTTAACAAATCTGCAAGCGAAAACGGAATTTGAAAAAAATTATATTGGATCATTTCTTTACTAAAATTTTCTGCAACTTAATGTCTACTAGTGCCGTTTTGATACTTGAGTTACATATATATCAAGTATTATTGGAGTACATAAGTAATATTAGTGTACATAAGTATTCTTGGAAGCCCTTGCGCATCTATTAGCTGGGGTAGTTAATGGAATTTGATGAAATTAATATGATACTAAGTGGGTACCAACCATCACAATCCCTGAAACTTTTAATAAACTTATGGTATTAGGTGAGATTACCCTCACGTGAATTTTCCTGCAGAACTCGCGACGGCGAGAAGTATTTGGGTCTAGTAAGGTTATGAATGTAGGCCAGAAATGATCAGGTAGAGGTTATGAAAAAAATACAAAGACAGTAGACCAAATTTATTCCTTTGATATATAAAATGTAAAACGCGATAGAAAACCTTCAAATCTCAGGACATTTTTATTTTTAACTTCTCCCACAAACACAAAGCTTCTATAACTTTGTTAGCAGGCAAATTTAATAAGTTCAACAAGTTTTTTCTTTTCTTTTCTTTAGATCTTTTTCCACGTTTTGAGTATTTAACTATGCTTAAAAGATTTAAAAGACTGAATGAAAATCCTTTTGATAACCTATTCGTATTCAAACCAACTATTTTTCTATTTTTCTAACTAACTATCATAACATTATAATAGTATTTATGTTTGTGATCAAACTATTTTCAGAAAAACAACTCTTATTTTTGCACTGTTATGCCTTTAATGTGTTAACTAAGAAGTGAAATTCCATTTTATTGAAGGATAATTGATATATATATATATATATATATATATATATATATATATATATATATATATATATATATATATATATATATTAATAATTAATATATATTTTTGTACCCTTCTTGCCTATCTATATTTACCTATTGTATCCTGCATGTTCTGTTATCATCCCATCTTAAAAGGAATTTAATTAAAATTTATATTAAACTGTAACAGATATATATATTTATTTATTTATATTTTATATATATATATATATATAATTACTTAACATGGATTTTATTCATGTTTAGGAAATTCCATTGTAACTACTATATATATACAAATATAATTATGATTATTTGATTTGATATTAACGATTTTGCTTAGATTTGCATCGCATATAAGCAGTATACAAACCTCAAAATTAGTTGTCGAAATTTTTAAGAAAGGCCAATAGGCATTAGGATATTTTTGTTTGTGGAGCAGCGCATATGTGTAGCTATGCACGCTTTAATCAAGAGGTTATTGATATGTAAAAAAAGTTTGTTATTGCGTGTTTATTTTAAAAACATATTTTATCTTATAGAACAATATTTGTCTATTTACGTTGTCTCTGAGATGTAAAATGCAAATCATGTTCATATTTACTGAATTCGCTCACAGAATGGATTGGTAGGGAATTTCAGAAGCTATTTAAACCCCAACGCTGTTGAACTAATGGTTCAGTTCTTGATTGGCCATACGTTTTGTTTGTGCGATTTGATATACCTCCGTCCGGTTTTGGGAGCGTGTGGGGTTGCCACGCGTACTTCTACAAGAAATTCGAGTATGAAGAAGGCCCTGTGTATGTGCCTATTGGTGAGAGAGGAGTGTTTAGATGACCGGTATGACGACTTTATAGCCGTGGAATGAATATATGGAAAAATGATGATAGGAGAATCATGGATTGGAAGGATTGAATGGATTTATTTTTGAGAATTTTTCTTTCGCTGATAGAAAATACCTCCTTTATTCAAATTTCGTGAGGAAACTTGACTGTTGTGAAAATGGTAATCACTATAAAATGCTTAAGTTATGAAACAGTGGGTAAAATTAGAAAAATATGAAAGGGACAGATGATAGACCAACAATTTATATTTTATTATTTGTTAAGGGTAGTTTTTGATCCATTTATAGATATATATATACATATTTATGTTCGTTTTTCTATTTAGTTGTTTTAAATATTTTATTTTTCTTGATTCTATCAATATAAATATTGTAGGATCTCATATATAATATATATTCACACACACATGTGTATGTCCTTCTACTCAATTACCTGATCGTTTACACTTGGGACTCTAACAGGAGTGCATAATTAATATGTAGCATTTAGATCATTCGAATCCAAATTCTTTTTAAAAATATATCTATTCGCCTTAGGGGGATCTCTGAAATGGCGAATTCGATTGCATTCATCAAACAAACTTTTTCATAGTAACTGTCTGAGAGATCCTATATTTCCTTGAACAACCTACAGTCCCTCAGTAAATTCATCTCAGATGAATGTAGATTATAAAAGGGAATCCAGCAGTTGAAGGGAAATCGACAAGGGCCGCCTTGGAGTACTCCGCGCAATACAAACCTTTGATATCTCACAAACGTGACCTCATTCCTTTGGTCTTTATGTATGTATATTATGCGCCCCTGTCAAAGTGGTTCTGGTGCATGTACCATCTTCATTATAACCTCTTTAATTGTTTTGAATCTGCGGGATATATAATAATATTTTATTTGGCGGATTAAAATTCCATTAGGTCAGGAAATATGGCCAATAATGTAGATCTCACTATTTACGTTTCAGATTCCAGTTGAAATTTATTTGGATACCACTACCTTTTTTTAAGTTAAAACTTCTTTAGGCGAGTTTTGTCCTTTTTTTTTGTGGAGAGGGAATTAGATTGAGCCTTCAGATCTTTGCCGTGTAACGCTTGGGTAAAGTCGGATGGAGTCGATTAATTTAAGTGTTCTTGCATATGAATTAAAATATCTCAAAAACTCAAAATTGCACCTACATATTGTTAGCGAGAGAAATGTTCATCATTCCATCCTCTCAGTACTGAGCTATTATTTATAATTTATTTTTCATATTATTAATCTCATCTAGCTGATGTTGTTATGCCCTACTCTATTATTAGCGACTCAAGTCCACTGTGTATGGATTCGAGAAACTGCGCCCTTATCTGCCATATTCGTTTTATTTTGCTTTCTCATTTTATATAATTTAACAGCCGGATGCTGAGGGTATGTCATAAGGAAGGTCAGAGATAAGATAAACTTAATCCTGAGGGCAAGATGGCTGGCCCAGGTTGGTGTCTTCATAGCCCAGCGGCTCCGAGTTGATCTGATTTATTATTGTTTTCTTTTCATTTATAATTACAAAATTGAGTAAAAAATTTGTCGGTGAGAAAAGCAGGAAGTGTGTACTGACATACTTGTTAAGATTGGACCATTATTAGTTTTTCTTTTGCTTCTTTCTCTTCTTAAACTGTTTTATAAAACGACTTTGATATGTAAATAGTTAATGTCCTTTTCTAATTAAAATTAATAAAACTAAATTGTATGTATTCGGACATTGTTTAATTCCATGAATACAAATTTTTCGTTTTAAAGTATTTATTCTATTGTATGTAAATATGTTTTAGTCTTTTAATATTTTTAAGCAATTAATTGTATGTGTTAGCTACTAATAGATTAATTACTGAAATATATGTTGTTTTGTTTTGTTGTTGTTTTGTCTACTTATATTATTTGTATACATTTTGATTCAAACATCTGTGTGCTGCCATCTTACCTCCTTGATTTTTTTCCTCTTTGATCCTCTGTTCATTCGTTCAACACGAGATCCCAGTCAACAATCCTATTTATTCCCTCTCATAGAACCGTATCCTTTAAAAAATCCTTTGTCCTTGCGTGTTACCTTTTTCTGGAATTCATTACCTGCCGTACGCAAATTCTTTTCCTTAACTACATTTAAGCAACAATTATTCTTCCACCTCCTACGCAATCAATCTTCCGAATACATGTAAGAACAAAATTTCGTATTTATGAGCTGATACCTTCATTTGACTGTTATATTATACACCATGCGCATGCGCCAGTTTCTATCTACCAACCTGCTACATCGTCTCCCACAAAGTGACTTAATTACCAGTTAATTAGTGAACTTTAGTGCAATAAAACAGTGACAATTCAACATTTATCAATTGACTATTCAACTCAACATAAACAAAGTGAGTAAACAACTTGTTTATTAACATTAGGACTACAGTGTAAACAACGATAGTTTTATAGGTAGAGGCTATCATTGCCCCCCACTACCTTTAGTTGCCTCCGTGGCTTCTAAGGGGGAACACGTATACTTTGGAGGCCTCTACAAGTCTAGGTAATTAGTTACGTACTAAAAACTTTTATTTATTTATTTTTTTTTCTCCTCTCTTTTATTTACCACCCTACCGTCATGAGATGCGATATTACCATATGATAATGTCTAGCAAAAACAAAAGATCTAGGAGTTTAGGGAATAACAGCCCTCGAAGTTCACCGGTAAAACAGAAGCCTAGACGTTCTAATAGAAAAACGCCACCTTCAACACCTGATAACCCTAGTGATAGCATGAATGACCCTCAACCTGGTACTTCAACGAAAAATATGACTGCACAAAATATAAACAACGAAACAGATGAATCTCCATTTTTTACTCCTAACCCATATCAATTACTGTCATTAGAAGAAACAATGGAAATACCACCAACCCCCAGAGAACCAAAACCACCTCCTATATTCATCAGAAATATAAAAAATTTCCCGCTATTTTGCCAGCATCTAAATAAAATACTGGACAACGGCAAATACATATGTCAAACTCGAATCAATGACACGAAGTTGATGCCAGATTCCCCCGAAACTTATAAAAAGATTGTCAAATATTTAACTGATACAAAGGCGGAATTTCACACTTATCAGTTATTCCAAGAGAGAGCACTAAGAGTAGTGATAAGAGGCCTACACCCTTCAACTCCACCTGATGCAATCAAGGAAGAATTAACGGATCTAGGATTCAGTGTCCGCCAAATTGTTAATATATTTAAAGAAAATAAAGAGCAGCCGGGCACAAATAATAAAATAGCCCTACCATTATTTTTTGTAGACCTAGAGCGCACCACTGGGGTCGATAATATTTACAAATTAAGACGCCTGTACTATACTAGTATAGTTGTTGAAAAATCATATAGCAAGAAGGAAATAGTTCAATGCCATAATTGCGAATCTTATGGCCACACTAAAAGTTATTGCCACCGCTTACCACGCTGCGTGAAGTGCGGGCAACAACACAAATCGGAAGAATGCAGTAAGTCCAGGCAAACACCTGCGGTGTGCGCATTATGCCATATAGACCACCCAGCAAACTACAAAGGATGCCAGACCTACAAAATATTAAAATCGAGACTCCTAACAGCTCCTAGACAGGAAGAGACCTCCAGGACTTCCAGACCACCAAGGCAACAGACAAGATTTACGAACAATTAAGTCTCCTATGCTCAAATACTGGGAGAAATAGAACAGCCCACTCAACCTCAGGCCCTGCCACAAACTCAACCTCAACCTCATAATCCGCCACCGCAACTTAATAACACCCAAAAGCCCAGTCACCACCAAATGTACATCCCTCCCCCTAACAATTCCAATGATCTTACGAGTCTCCTTTCATCATTCCTCTCCGAATTCAGATCTCTTATCACACCACTTATCTCCTTACTCACAAATGTCATATCTAACCTTACTCCATCGCCAAGAATTCCTTAAATGCCCTCAATAAAACCCCTTTCCATTCTCCTCTGGAATGCGAATGGTGTTCGAAACCACATCAATGAACTAACTTTTATTTCTACAGGACAATAACATTGACATAGCCCTAATAACTGAGACTCGACTAACTAATAAACGACAGTTCAACATACCTAGCTACAAGATTTATCGAACTGACCATCCTGATGGAGCAGCACATGGAGGTACTGCTGCCATCATCCATCTATCCCTCTCCCATCACTTTTATCCTTTACCAGTACATAATTTCCTACAAACCTCAGCAATAACAATCCAAACTTCACTTTGTCCTGTCACAGTTGTCGCAGCATACTCCCCACCTAAAACAGCAATAACCGAACCTAACTTCATATCCTTTCTTAATTCCTTAGGACATCATTTCCTTATAGGTGCAGACCTTAATTCCATACTATACTAGACTATATAAATACTAGACTTAAAAGACAAGAACTTAACCGACGATTTGGCCAGCTATACAGACTACTTAACAGAATCCAATCTATCAATAGAAAACCAACTATTAATATACAAGACCATACTCAAACCCATCTGGACCTACGGACTTGAACTGTGGGGAACAACTAAATTTTCGAACATCAAATCCTTTCAGTCTAAAGTCCTCCGTATGATAGTCAATGCTCCTTATTACGTTACAAACAAATCCCTACATCATGACCTTTACATCCCTTATATCCTTGACGTTATTCCATCCCGATTCTCAAATTTTCACATGAACCTAATCCACCATCCTAACCCTTTAGCACAAGCGCTGGGATCTCTTTGAGTCTCGCTTTGTCCTTCACACGTGGGGGAAAGGGCTGGACTCGGAGATCTCTTACCTAATTGTAAATATTGTATTTAAGTATGAATGTTTTTCTATTTATTTCTATTACTTATAATTTATTTAATTTTGCTACGAATTTCTGTATTTCATTTAATTTCAACTCTTAGTTACATTTCCTAGTTTATTATAGTTTTTGCCTTTGTTATATAGATTTTTATATTTTTTTATATTTTATATTTTTTTATTTATTTACTTATTTATTATTATTATTTTTTTTTATGTGTTGTATATATGGTATGAATGTGCCTCTCTCAGACTTAATACTCAGTGTCCTTAAGTGTGGCAAAATGTATTATTACTCAATAAACAGATAGAATATAAAAAAACAAACATATTATACACGGTACGCCAGACCCCTCTAGCCTGCATCCCATCCCCACATCCCTATAAATTCCATTAATTTTAATTTAATTTTTGCATTAATATTTTTTCGTTAATAAAACCAATATAATGTAAAACCAAAAGCGTTATTATATCACTATAACCAAGCCATTTATGTGTACAGAAAGGTGTGATAGAGGCTTGTAGGGACCAACGCCGGCACCAATTTTATCTCGCATAAGTGTATTCTCTAAGGAACCGCTTCAATTATTTTAAAAAGTAATCATTATTTTAGAAAGAAAAATATATTCTCCAAATGTTTTATTTCGGTACATTTTGCGTTATAGTTGGCTGTTTAATTACAAACGACGCTTGATTTTCAAATTGAAAAGTTTTTTGTTAAAATGTTTTAATTTACTGGTGTTTTTTATTACCTAAGGCAATTATTTTTTAATATTTATTCATGTTTTATTTTTCTATGTCTATTCAGCTTTAATAAAAGACAAACTATGAGGAAATTAACTCAAGTGCTGATTCTCAGTGACCAAAAAATTAACTAAAGTCAAAGTCGTCCATCCGCCATATTTGGACGCAATTTTGGGGCGGTGCGTTCACTTTTTTTGCGGAGACATTGGCCTTTTTTTAATAAATAGTTACAAGCAACACAACGATATGCAATTTATAGGGATGTGGATGGTGGGGGGGGGGGGTGCACGATAGGGGAGTCTGGCCCACAGACTATTACTGCTACTCATATATTAACAATATTGTTAATCAAAACAAATACACGAACACACTCATATATATTTATGTTCAAATTAATATGTTTACTTGTACTTAATTTATTTTAATTTTTATGTCGGAATATTATGTTATGTTAACTAATTATTTTTTTGCAGTACCAGGTAGTTGTCATTTTTTTGTTCACAGTGGTTATTGTTAGGGGACTAAATGTCCCAGAGTAAAATGACTTTCTTCTTCTTCTACTTTCAGGTGACAAGTTAATAAAACACCTCATCTTTTTACATAACGAAGAGAATTTCAACTCATTTCTTTATAAAGCCTCAACTTAATTAATATGATCTTTTTTGTTTATTGTTTGTTCTTCCTTACCTCGCTTATTAGGCTATACGAGGTTTTCCTGGGCCGGGGAATAAAATAAAATAAGAATGGCGGCATAGGCGTTGTTGTAAACAGCAATCTTGTAAGCGACTTTCCCGTCTGCGTTATTTCCACCAAAGATAGGATTTGGTAGATGGTGTCTAACTGTGATTAGGCCACCTTTATTAGCATAATCAACAGCTTGCATGTTCATGCACTCGATTATATCGGTTTCCTTATGCTCTGCTGTGGTCATCCGCTCTAGGGAACAGTCGATTCCGCCGGCGGGCAACTTATTGGTCCATTGCTGTATCTGGTTGGGTTGTTCTAGGGAGAAACCGTTATGATCTCCAACATTGGTACAGCCTCCGAAAGCTGAAGAGAGGACACGGCCTCCCAGTCTACTGAGAGCTTACAGCAGCTTTTTCGTCTTATTGTTGGATCCTGCGTTGGTAGTTGACCGTACACTCTAAAATGGAAAAAAGGTATTATATTTTTAATGCCCCAATGTTATGTGTTTTTAATTGATTTAGTTTGGTTTTAATATTATTAAAATACTATTCTTAATTATTTTTCAAAAATATAAAAATATGTATGTTCTCATTTACACTTACCACTGCCGTATGGCAAAGGAGAACTCCAAATAATAACAACTTCAAATATATGTTCTTTCTTATATCCTCTAAAAATGAAACATTACATCACACTTTAGTTTTTAACTTTTAAAATTGAAATTTCCTTCTACTGGCAACAATGGAGTTAACAATTAAAAGATCTATCATTTAAGTGTCTTCTGAGAAAACAATTGAGGAGCTCAGTAGTAACCAATAGTAAATAACAAAATATTCTTTTTAAAATATTAAAATGTTTGTTAGTTAGTGGGCTTTCATACACGCAGAGTTTTTTTTGAAAGAATGAAATCTTGCATTACTTTCTGTGATGCTAGTGCGCCTACTTTCCTCTTTGACAAAATGACAAATACAAGTCTCTATGTCTCTATATTACTAAGGATGGGGACTCCACATTAATTTATTGGATTATGTACAAAAAAAAAGAAGCACATTCTATCAAAAACCCATGAAAGAAGCAATAAAATTTGAGTTCATAAAAGAGTTTGGTACCATATTTTACTACCAAGTACTATCAACAATTTTTCAATATACTGGCTTGTTGAATAAAATGAATTTGAACAGGAGTTGCCAAACGTAAGTAGTTGATGGAATTTAACAAATCGGATGCATGATCTCTTCTTTTTTTAATATTTTTATTTATGATATTTACAACTGTATTAATATAAATATATTAAGAAAATGTGTGCACAGAAACATGATCACGTGAAAACGCTTGCTGAGAAACTTCTCACTGGTAGCACTCTAATAATGTCTACAAAAGGAGATCACGCGGCCATCTTCTTTTCAGACGCCTCAGAGGATTATCAGGAATTGAAGGGGAAGCAAGGTTAGAAACCAGAGGATTCGGATGGTTATGAAGTTTATTATGGAAGGATAGGTATTTGGATTGGGCCAAATCGGAAACATATGGAACATAGGGTTCTTTATGGATTATTTTATTTATGACAAAGTGAGGAGCATTAAGGATTTTTCGAAGGATTTTGGATTGTAGGGATTGGATACGAGACGAATTCGATGGCTTAGGAGAGCCCCATAGCTCAACTCCAGAAGTCCAAATAGGTCTTATTATAGTCATGTATATGAGTCTTTTGTAATAAATTGGAAGCTTAGATCGTTTGTCTAGTAAGTGCTGGATTAAGCGGAAACGTTGAGCCGTTTCTTGCCGTTTCAGTTTCAGTTTCAGTATGAAGATTCCATGTAAGAAGTTTGTCCAGGTGGAGTCCTAGGTATCGGATTTGTTCAATAGGGATAAATGGAGAGTTATTGAAGGATACTGTAGGACAGCAAGTCATAGGTTTAACGACCAAGGGTAAAGGTGATTTGATGGGATTTATTGGAATTTATTTTAATCCTCCAGTTTTGACACCATTCTTCAAGGATCCTGATGTTTGATCGAAGAGTTTGGGATGCTATTGATGGATTATTATTAACTGAAAGAATTATTTCAGCATACGTGGTGATGACGGTGTTAGAATGGGTTGGAATATCAGCTGTATAAACTATGTAAAGGATTGGACCGAGGATCTAGTTCGTCTCGGTGGTTAAGTAGTCCATTAGCGTTCCATAAAATGATAGCTAGGGGCTTTGTGTTCATCGAGGGAGGTTGGACGGGATTTCGGAAAAGAGTCTAGTGAGAAGAGTAATTAGCAGTTTGATAGTCTCTTGAAGATCAATCAGGAACGTAGAAAGGAATTGATGTCGGGTGGTTTTTGGGTGTGAAATGGATTTAAGCCAGGAGGATGTGATGGGTAATTTATCTAACTAGGATTGTTAGGAGGAGGATGTGCATAACGTGTGGTACGAGGTGTTGGATCTAAATTATGTTGGGTTTGTGATGGGTGATTTAGGATTAGGAACGGATGGAACTGAGTGTGGATGCTCTGGCATTTGACCCTTAAGGGTCTCTGGCAAATGTCAGACGGATGTAACCCAACGCATTTAACGCATCTGGCCTGGTGATGACAGCAGGCTTTTGTGTGTCCTAGGTTTTGACAGTTAGTGAATTGGACTTCTATAGGTTTTGTCGAGGTTCCTCAAAACGGACAAATGAGTATAAAAGTTGGTTTACATGTAATATTTCATTGTTGTATTTTGCAGGTTCAAGATCTACGAAAAACAATAGTAGTGGCTATTTTTCCGTTGGATAAAGGACGGATGAAATGTTTCTGATACATGACCTATTTCTTACAATCCCATTTTTATCGGTCTTGTGGAAGTAGTTGAACTAAGGCCTCTTAAGACGGCTCTATATGCTTTTTCCTGTTTCGGCTGAGAAAAGTAAAAATCGTATTTTCTAGAAGTGAAATGTTCAATTAATTTCTTATAATTTTCTTTAGAGTTGGTATCTATTTTAGTATCGTTAACTCTGTTAAAAAAAATGTTAATTCCTTGGATACGAACTCGATATACTCGAAGGAAGGTGTTTTAGTAAAGAGAGCCTTGGCTGTGAATTTACGTAGATAAGGCAAGACCTGTAAAGGGAAATACCGGCCAGCTGTGCTGTCTCTACCAAACGAGTTTCAATTAACTATTTCAACATAATTTTTGATAAATATTTCTCACCTCACTATTTATTGTAAAAATGTTTAAATGTATATAAGCTCACTGTTCACTAGTTATAGCAGCAGTATTTGCCAAATGAGAAAGAAACAAAGACAGAGCGATGCAAGCATTAAACTGTAGTTGCGGCCTTGACACTTGGTACTTCTGATCTCTTTTAAAATGGAATGTCCCTAACGTTCCACTAACTTTGAGCAAAATGTTACGATTCGTTTTTGAAATATTAGTATGTTAAAAACATTGTGTTTGCGCATGCTTAGCAGAAAACAGTAGTTATAATCTGTTAAAATTGACGTGAAAACATTTAGATAACCAATCGCACAATCCTTTACATTCATTTCAAAATCGGTTTTACAGTAGTAAGTGACCTGTTTGCCACGTTGCATTGGTTACAGATATACACTGAATCAAATTTGTTCATGTTGATATTTATAACATAAAACGGGTCTAGAATTTTTTTATTCTTTGGTAATTTCTTTTTCTCTGTACAAAATTTCAACGCTTCTCTAACATCGATTGTGAGGAAGCGAAATGAAACACATTCTCATACATATTTGGATCCACACTATCAGCAGATGGAGAGTGTGTTTAAAATATTGAACCGAAAACGTAAGTGGTTTGACAATTATATTGTTCTTTAAGTGGCATTATAGAGTAGTTGGTGTAAAATAAATATTTTAATACTTGTAATGTGTTTCGTGTTAATATGTTGATATGATTTTAAAATTAGATTAATTTGCAATACTTAAGCTTCTGTTGAGATCTTATTTTAACCGTTTATATTATTTTATTTTATTTTAACTTAATACAAAATCATATCCAATGCTATAATTCAAAATTAATATACTACTAAGAAATATATTAAATTTAATTTTTTTTTATATTTAAGCTCCAACTTACTATTAATATTTAATTAAAAAATATATTGACAGCCACATTGTAAAAACCTGTAAGCACAAAAAAGGCATTTCTGTCAATATATTAATAATTTCGACTCATTATTAATTGTCACATTAAAGATTCGTTTAAATATTATGAGAGTTCTTCCGTGAAAGTAAACACCGGTGGTCTATTGCACACGTCTGGAACAGTTGTATCAAAAATTAAATAACAAAATTTAGCATTGGTTAAAAATTTAAACTATGTTTTAACTATTATACTTATATAGAATTGATTTAGATTTCAAACTTATACTTACGTTGGTAACAAGAGAACTCTGATACCCATAGTCATTTCTAGTGCCTTATATAGCATCTTCGCAGTTGTCTTTCTGACACTAGACAAATGACAAACACCAACTGTGTGTACTTATGTATTATGTATTAGCTTCATCAAAATTATCTAGCTATAACTATAAATAGATTACTAGACGTATTTCTATTTTCATTATGCACTTGTAGGATGAACTTAATAAATATTAACGTTTGCTGATACTGGTCTATTTTTAATTATTTACTATAGTTGAAATGGAATGAATTTTTGCTTCCTCATTATCAGAGTGTCTATATGATCCAATATCAATATCATCAAATTCCTTTTGACAATTCCGCTTACGCACAAATGTATTTTCTTAGGTGTGCCAATATTTCAGAAACAGCTAGTTCGATTTGACTCAAAGCTGTAAGAAAGACAGGTCTTGGTAAAAAAATTAAGCTATATCAATTCCATTGCATTCTGTCAGCTGCTTTCTCTTAAATATGCTCGAACATTTTTTTCGTTATACCTCTATATCTAGGACCGCTAGTTCGATTTGGTTCAACTTTAGAGGATAGTTAGGGATTGATTAACAGATAAATAAGAAAGTAACACTTTTGTCAAATTCTATTCACTACTCTAAAAAAAAAAAAAAAAAAAAAAAAACTTCTGATTTTGCATCGGTAAAAATATTATTTGATATGCCTATAGTTTGAAAACGCCTAGTTCAATTTGGCCCAAACTTGGAAGAAATTTGGAGAATAGTTAAGAAATCGTCTAATACCAATTTTATTTAATTCCATTTAATAATTAAAATTAAAATAATAATATTGATATTAATAATTAAAATAACTATTAATGATATAATAATTGTGAAGGCTTTGATCACATAACATAGGGTTTAGGTTAATACAATAATTTTATGTGGTTAGAAAACTTTTAGTTTTATGCAAAAAGTGAATTTATACTGTATTTTTTGGTCGATTCCAAAAGTTGCTGCCATGACACATACTGCACTTACTTAGACTTCATGTAATGTTCCGTAAATTTTAATTAATTTTTACTTTATTTAATTAGTTAAAAAAGTCTTATTTGATTTTGTTTATTTCTACTGAAATTCAACCAGCTCGTAGTTTTCTCGATTTCCTCTTAACCATCAAAGTTGTGTGAACTGCAATCATATTTTTATATTCAAGTTTAAATTAATTTCGTTTTGACTGAGGGAAAATATTGGTCTCATTACCTCCGAACAAACAAAAAGTTTAATTTTTTCATTGGATTCTTTGTTCCACCCATTTTATTAGTGAAAACACGCCTATAAGTATACATCGCTACTGTTAGTGTAAAATGTGTTTAAATTTAATGTATTTTTTAATAATTTATTTTGGTTTATTATTTTCAATAATCAACCATTGTGATCGACCAAAAAATACAAAAACTTAACTCCCTCTCAAAATTTGAGGTTTCACGTTTCAGAATGTGTAGAATTCGAATAACGAATAAAAATTTTTTTGTCCATCCGCCGTCGGCCGTACGCGGATTTTCTCCGAAACTATTAAACCGATTGTTTTCAAATTTGGATATAAAATCAGAGGTCACCCGAGGATGATCCTCCTTCATTGGCATTGCTAGCCGCCTTTTACTCTCAAAATGGCGGCCGAAAAACCTGCGTTGCTATAGACTGTAGCTCCTAAACGAATGTACCGAATTCAATGAAACTTCGCTAAAGTCATTTTCTTGATGCCCTTTACATTTATCTACATAACATACTTCAATGAAAAGAAGCTGGAAAAAAAAGTTACGTGCGATGGTAAAATTTAATTTTTTTTCGTTATTGTATTATATTTTTTTTAAAGTTTACTAAATATCCTAAAAAAATCGTAACATCGGACAATTAGGAGCAAAGATATGGTCCCCAGTTTTTTTTATATGTTCTGCTCCAAATGTTTTATCCTCTGTTTTGTTTTTAAATTTTGAATGTGTTACTGAAGTAATGCTATTTTTTTTTTTTTTAGCTTATCACTAATGATTAAAAAAAAATTTAGTCCAATAATTCGAATCACTTTTTATTTATTTTTCTTTGTAACTAGGAAGGTAATGTGACTTTAGATGTATAGTTGTTTGGAAATAATAAACCATTGTGAAATAATTTGCAGCGTTTTTTTTTTAGTTGAATCTACCCAGCAGGGCCATTGGTAACATCTTCAGATTAAACTCTATTATAAAGTTTCACCGCTTTAAGGAACGCTAATGTTTTCTTAACCGAATATTTATTGCCTTTTAAATTTTATTTTATAGTTGGTGCCATATTCAAATTTTCTCTGATAGTTTTTAGTGTAGAGCAGTATTGGATAGTGTGTTTTACTGTCCTTTTGGCATTGTTGCTCTCGCATGTCGGGGGATCAAGCCCTCAAGAACTCACAATGTTTTCTTAGTCTGCAGAGTGCTGTCTCTTCTTTCATGGAGACCCGATAAGAGGTTTTTCATTTTGAACAGTAGGTTTTTACTTCCCTTTATTTTGACTCTTTTGCTCACACTTATTTTGCCACGTTTTGCAAACATCTTTTTTATTATTTTTGTAAGATGTCTTCTAAAGGAATTTTATTGATCGATTACCCCCTGCCTTTCTTGTTATAATGTATGAAAAGATAAGGCTTAGATTTTTTTTAGGTTATGAACAGTTTTCTCGCTTAATATTTATTTTACATAATTGGATTAGTGGCGGTGAAAACAGTTCATTTCAATGGGGGTTGAGTTGTATTTTTTTTTTTTTTTTTTTTGCATATTACAAGATTGGATTTTATTGGTTATTCTCATTTTAACACTTTAGTTGTTGGCCTCGTCTTGAACAATTTTCTTTTGTAAAAAGTTCCAATCACTATAACTTCCAGGGAACATAACGAATAACTCGGTTTTCCTCTTTACTAATTAATTTTGTCTTAATTTGTTTTTGTTGGTTAATAGAAAATAATCAGCCACATTAGGCTATAGTCAATGGGTCAGCGATTTTAACCACATTATTTTGGTGATAAATATTGGACATCTGCATCGACAGGAGCCCAGAATAAAAAGTTATATAATTTCAAACAAAATTTGTTATTTATTTTTACTTTTGCTCTGCTCTGATGTTTAGATTATTGTATTTTGATTTATTTCTTCTTTTTTTTTTTTTTTTGTTCAGAAAAAGAAACAAATATCCAAAAGGCGCTTCCAGTTAAGTAGGCCAGGTAAATTTTTGTTATGAAAAAGGAAGTTAGTTAAAAAATAAATGGATTCATGTATAATGACCTAAAAATTCGGGTAAAGCAAAGATAAAAATAAATTACATAGACGTTGTTTGAAATTTAAATTTTTTTTTGGCTCCTAGGGCCAACGAACGAACACTGAGATGTGCGTCCAGTGTTGTTCGATGCAGTATCACCAAAAAAAGTTTGGTTGAAATCGGTGACACACTGCCTGTAGCCTCTTTTTGTAATCATAGATTGATACCATTTACAAAAGCTAAAATAAAATCTTAAAAAAAATATCCGAAAAAAATAATGAGCTTTATTGTGGAGAAAATTAGTCCGTAGAGCTAATGTAGCTGAGTACATGAGCTAATGCAAATCAATGATTAGTTCAGCATAGTGTAATAAACCTAACACTACATCATTCAAATATAAGAATTTTAGAAAGTGTATCTTAAAACTTTCCGTTTCTTGGAGGAGTAACTTACTGTTATATAGTCATCCAATCCAATAGGTTTTAATTACGCACAAAAGCGTAAAGTTACAGTTTTACCACATGACTCATATCGTACGTGTGACCAAACTGACTCACTAGGGTGTCAGATTATTTATTGTTCAAATTTGTTTTTAATAGAAAGCTAATACTAATTTGATTAATATAAGTGAAAAAAAATTATATTTATATATCATTGAAGATAAGTCTGCTCATTTCATAGTAATAAATTTTGGTATAGTTTTATCTATTTCGTATATTCTTCAATGCTTCAGAACATTTCCTAGATTTATTGTTATTTACAGCTCTTAATATATTTCTTCGTCACTCTTCATGGTAAAACTTATCAATGTTTCATCTCAAAACTCAATCTGTTATTTAGGACTGACATTTAACCAGACTTAGCTAAGACAAGAGCTTAATCGACGATGTGACAAAACACATAAACTACTGAATGGAAAATCTCAAGTTTCAGTTGGTATAAAATTACTGGTCTACAAGAGAATCCTGAAACTTATCTGCAATTTTTATTTAAGCCAATTATAATTTGGTCTTTTATTTTAAATGGAAATATCTCTCTCTCATAATATATTTTATTTTCTTATTTACCTGATATACAGATGCCACTTGTTCTATGACCAATATACAATGCGAATTATTCACAAGCTGTATAGCTTTAGTAAGTATAATATTGCAATCATTTGTACCGACCGAAATACCAAAAGTGGGTTCAAATATTTTTCATAATGAATTTACATATTACACTAAAAAAAATTCTATTTATTCCGAAAATAATTAAAATGTGATAACTTCAGCATAACTCCGCCTAGCTACATGAAAATTAGCAAGAATTTAAGACCCTATACATTGAATGAAATGAAAAATAACACACTCGTAAACAAAATAAATCGGAAGATATAAATTAAAAACGTTTGATGAGATTTTCTTGATTTATTACTTATAATGGCATAAATTCTAAGTTATTCTTGTGGTTAAAAAAAAAACAGTGATTTAGCATTCCAGTGGTTGTAGCAACGTTGAATTAAGTTAAAATCGTAAGCAGTTATGAATACTCCTATAAAACCATTTACAAAAATTTAAATTATTCACTTTAAAAAATAATTCTGTCCTCCAGTTTATATTGACAACAATCGAATTCCTCAAACGG